GCTACATGTATGGTTAACGCATAGACTATTTACAAGTCCCATTCATAACGTTGTCTTGTCGCCCCCCTTTTTTCCAAAACTCTAGATCCGCATCTAGGTACGTAAAATATATACGTGTCAATTTTCATTCAGTCTTTGTTGTTAATAAAAAAATGTTTTTGTGTAATTATATGCACAATAGACTCGGAGAAGTAATCTATATATGTAACAAAACTCATGCGTTCGAACCCAGGGCTATAGTTGTATTTTTTCATTAAACGTTTCTTTTAAAAACCAGTCATCACATACACTTCCTCCTTCAACGGCGGAACCAAGGAGTGGGGTGGGTTACGGGGGTCGATTTCCCCCCCTAAATATGTGAATTAAAGTTTCATGGTGTTCCGGGGTTGGAACTCGACATTTTAATGTGGCTGGATAAGAAATCTTGCGAAAGTTTTGATAATTCATATCACTGATTATGAATATGTATTAAGTTAATAAGGTAAAATAGATTAACATTATATAAAACTTCAAATTAAAAAAAAATAAGTTGACTATATTTTATGTTTTTGGTTAGCTATTTTTTTGTTTACTATTAGTGTAAAAGGGAGATCTTGTAAAAGAAAATCCTCTATGTTATCAGAATCTTCAGAAATGTACTGCTATTGAATTATCATCTTCCCGTACTCTTTTTTGCCAATTTCTATTCGGTATGCAGTAACCACGAGACCTCTCGTTAGAATTTGACATGTGGCAACCGTAGCGAATTCAGTCTAAGGAGGATAAAGATTTTTTCGTTGTTTTATTTTAAAGTTTTACTTGACCGATTTTATTTAGCTCTTGTTATGAACAGTTTTAATTAAAAATAAGTGTATTAGTTTTTGCCTAATTTAATTAAAATCGGTCAATTGAATATTTTTTTTTCAATTAAAACTGTTTGAAAAACTTGGACTAGTATACTCAAATTTAGTATAATAGTCCCAGTTGAAGATAACTGTGATACATCACAGCTGTTATTGTATGTTTCCAATATCTGTCAATTTCTTTGTTAAAATTACATTTTAATAAAATATGTTGTTATTTTAAGACATTTAATAAATAAAAAAATACAAAGACCTTCATCGTAAGTGTTTACATCTTGATGTGACTATCTATCAATGAAAGAATTGTATCAAAATTGACGTTAAAATCCATTGACTTCTTTGTCGAATCTCACTATTATCAAAACTGAAAAATCGTTGGCGTTGATTGCATTGGTATTTTACAATAATTAAAAAAATATGTATAATAAAAAAACATGGTTCAAGGTTTATTACTTTTATCTGGCAAAATCAAACTATTATTGTAAAAATAAGGATATGTGGTATGATTGCCAATGAGACAACTATCCACTAAAGTTCAAATGAAGTGTAAGCAATTACAGACAACCGTACGGCCTTCAACAATGAGAAGACCCCATAACGTATGATCGGCTGTGAAAGGCTACGACATGAAAAATATGAAACAATTCAATTGAGAAAACTAACGGCCTAATTTATAACAAAATAATTTACGGAATACAAATATGACAGACATGAACCAACGACAACCACTGAACTACAGGCCCCTGACATGTGACAGGTACATAAAGAATGTGGCGATGTTTAACATGTTTTTGAGTGCTCAACCCTCCCCTGACCTGGACAGTGGTGTAACAGTACAACATAAGAACAAACTAAAAAAATCAGTTGAAAAAGGCTTTAGCTAAATCATTAGATGGATACAAATAGAAATACATCTAACAAAAGCACAGAGTGGACGTAGAATCTTTTTATACATAATTTTAAAGAAACATAATATGCATTTTTTTTTCTATCATATTAAATTTGGTTTACTTCGTTTGTATTTAATTTATATTTATCATTTGAACGTCGTCATACCTATTGAAAAAAAAAAAATTACACGTTTCCCCAAAATGCTTTTAAAATGCATTCAAGAGAATTAATTTGATTAGAAATTAAGATCTAGAAGATTTAAATCATGAATACATCATGCTTCTCTATGACACATAGTATTACTATAAATGTTGAATGTAAATTAACAATTCATCCTTTAAAGTCATATGAAAGACCCATGCAACGAGTTTTTTTGTAATTTTAATGTTGAACAAATTATTGAACCAATGCATGCATATTCTAAAGTAACTTACAGTCATGTATGCACGTTTTTTTATATTTATTACGAATCTATAACGCTTTATCGGCAAATAATAATAATTATTCATTCAAAGATTACTGATCGCTAACTTATTTATTTTCGAGTTTGTGGCCGAAGTTTACTGGATCGTGACATTGTTGATTAAACTTTTTTTAACAGTTGTTGAATTATTTTGGTGCATTTAATTTGTTCTTTAAGAATAAATTATTACTATTAACCATCCAGTGTCATGAAATAGAAGTTCCTTCATAATATAAGTTCCAAGTGGAAGAAATATTATAGTACTTGTTCCTTACGGAATAAAGGGTATAGAATATTTGTTCCAACAGGAACAGATATTATGGCATTGTTTATAACAAATTTTCCAGGGGAACTTCTCTTAGGCGGAACAAATATACATTGACACCAGTACGCGTTTGTTTACATTCTTTCAACACGGTTTTCCCCTCGCACTTGCGATGTGCGGTGGTCGAAGTTCTAACAAGAGGTCTCGTAGTTAAGGTCACTGCATACGAGAAAATATCGGCGAATAAGTGTACGGGAAGACAATATTATCCATAGCAGTACATTTATGAAGATTTTTATAATATATAGGATATCATTTTACAAGACATTTCACGTACACTTGTTTTATAGTAAAACTTCAAGTATATAAAACAAATTCAACTCTTCTTTTTTTTTAATTTTAAGTTTCATGTGACTTTAATTTTTTCCTTAAAATAAATGTAATGCAATCTCTGAAAACGGAAAGCTATTTTGTAGAAAGGTGCTTTTTTGGAAAATTGTTATGATAAACAATATAGAGGCAAACCGAGGTACAACGAAGTATACATATTCATCAATTATGGACTTTTGAGGAGGTCAATACGTTATATAGTGTAATTAAGATCTGGAGCTGGCATGTCAGTAACTGCTAGTAGTCCTTTGTTCATTTATGTATCATTGTCATTTTGCTTAGTTTCTTTTGTTACCTATTCTGACATCGGACTCGGACTTCTTTTAAACTGAGTTTTACTGTGCGTATTGCTATGTGTTTCTTTATTCTACATTGACTAGAGGTATAGGGGGAGGGTTGAGATCTCACAAAACATGTTTAACCCCGCCGCATTTTTGCGCCTGTCCCAAGTCAGGAGCCTCTGGCCTTTGTTAGTCTTGTATGTTTTTTAATTTTAGTTCATTTATATGTTTTGGAGTTTAGTGTGACGTCCATTTTCACTGAACTAGTACACAACTTTATTTAGGGGCCAGCTGAGGACCACCTCCGGGTGCGGGATTTTCTCGCTGCGTTGAAGACCCATTGGTGGCCTTCGGCTGTTGTGTGCTCTTTGGTCGGGTTGTTGTCTGTTTGACATGTTCCCCATTTCCATTCTCAATTTTATATCGACCTGTTCAGATTATATTGACCGAGGACGAAGTACCAGTGTCAATACAATCTTACAGGTCCATATATAACGTATTGACTAAGTGAAAGTCCTTAATTTGTATATTACATATGTAAATAATGTATTAGGAAAATGGCGTTCAATGTTCTTTCTGTGTATTTTTAAATTGTATTTTGCAAGAATTTTAACATGTTATTGAAAATATCTCAATATTCTTTGAACAACTTCATAGCTTGTTGCGTTAGCTTTCTTGTATTCTTAGCGTCTGCGTTTAACATAAAAATTCTTGTGATAAACTTGCAAATTTTCTTTTCATCTGCTGCGTCGCTTCCTCCTTGGTTGTTATGTGTGACGTCATGACGTTATTAATCTAAATTTAGCAAGATTTTTCATATTGACCGTCAATATACATATAAATAGAAACATAGCGTCAATATACTTAAAAATAGAAACAAGGCTTCGGATACATCAAATAACCTTTCAAACAAGTGATCGTAATATCCAATGAAAACAGGAGAATGCTACACCATATGTAATATATTACCTTCTAGATCTTAAGTCCGCGTCACCAAAAATCTAAAGTCCGAAACGTACAACACTATATGCAATTCAAACAAATTTTCAATAGTTCAAAAAGGCAAAGCAGTATGGTGTTTATAAATAGTTAACGGTATCAAATTTACAAAAACAACAGGCGGGAGATATCATGTGGATAATTAAAAATAAATAGTCGAGAGAAACTGCAACTCAATGGGAAAGAAAAGAAAGACTACGAAAAGACAAACAAGTTCACAAAACACTAGACAGAAAACTAAAGACTGTGCAACACGAACCGTACACAAAACTGGAGGGATGTTAGGTGTTATAGAAGGACAAGCGGCTCCTGTTCCACTAGTAGCACCCGTCGTGTTGCTCACATACGACACATGATAAAGTTTGACTCATTTGCTAGCAAAATTAAAAATTCTAAAAATTTCTAAAATTTACACCAAACAAACGGACATTCCTCCACTAGAATGCATTAAACACATTAAAGAAAATGACGACAATATCACGAATTCATCGTGAAGGGAAACAATACATGTTATGCATGTTTTATTCTTTTCAGTGGCTGGTGTTGGCAAGACAAAGATCATGTTTTAACCGTGTTAACATGGATATAAATGAATTACCCGTAATTATTACAATGCGATTAAAAATATCATTGAAAGTTTATTTCATACATGTATATGATTCAAAACCGATTTGATTGGATTGTACTATTGGTGACTCAACCCCGCGGTAAGACTTGAACGACTGTCTATCGTCCAAAAGGATGAAATGGGTCACCATAGAACAATTGTATATCAATTAAAACAACTCGTTGAATCTTACTAAATGAACAAGTAACGAACAGCACGGACACAGTATTTCAGTTTTATTGTTGTTTGTTTCAGATATAGATGTGTCATGCATAGACTAATTGAACTGGTGTTTTTGGTGTTTCAATTTGAACAGGTTGATTTGCAGGTAGGAAAATTAAACTAAAATCTGCTCGTATTTCTTGTTACGCGCAACGTTAATCAGCCAAGGGAAGGCTTGGGGAACGACTATTTAACTTTAAGGGATGGGGTGGGGGTGGTTATGTTTTATTTTCATTATGATGTTTTTGTTTTCGTACTTCACAAGCATCAAATCATTAATGATTTTGTTGTTGTTAAGAAATTACAATTAAATGTGATGCTAAAAGGGTCGTTTCGTATATAAAAACGTTATATAAGAATATTATATATCTTCTCTCAAAACAAAGAAACAAAAAGTAAACTTAAGATGGATAGGGGGTCTTAATTAGAATCCATAGAATTTTTTAATAATTTTTCAAAATGTAGTTTTTATCATGTTTTTTACCAAAATATAATAAAAGAATGGGTCACCGGACTTTTTTTCACGCTACAGATTGTGCAAAATTGTCTGATTTTGTATAGATTATGCATGGAAAATCCAATTTTGTGTGATAAAAAGAAAACTATACCATAGAATTTTAAGATAAAATGTTAAAAGATAGCTCTTTTAACATGCTTTCAGATAAGAAAAAGAAAATATGGGGTCACCGGACTTGTTTTCTTGCTACCTATTAAAATAGGTAAATTCACAACTCTTTCTATATAAAAATTACTTTATCTGAGTTATCTCTCCTTATGTGGCAAAGTTGAAAAAAAAAAATGAATCAAACAAAAATATAGTGGTTTTTTAGAAAATGAAGCCGTAAATATGATAAAACACATAATTTTCTATATTAACATGAATATGTCTTACACATAAATTACATACTACTCTCAAAATTTGCACATATCATAAAAGATCTAGACCAATTGTTATCTGCTACTTCAAAATCCAAGATGGAGGAAGACACCCGAGCCATCTTAAGACAAAAAGAAACCCAAATATATCAAGACAAAACAAAACAACTAAAACGAAAAGAGGTCGGATTAATAAAAATAAATTCAGAATGATACAGTGCTGTAAAGGAGTAATCACTGGTATTGTTAAAATTATTGACACTGAAGAAGGCTATTTGTTAAGCCGAAATATTTGTCAACACGATTTATTAACAACATCTTCGTATAATACCATCTTATATTAGTATCGTTGTGCAAATCTCTAGACTTATATATATATATATATATATATACAAGTCTAAACTGAAAACAATGTTCAAACCTATGAATGCGTTGGATAAAAACCGCAATTTTTATACGCGTGCATGCAAAACAAATTTCTTGGTAGAGGGGTATAAATACAGCATAAACAACATTTTCCAAAAGACCAAATGAGTGAAAAAGTATATTTTAACAAAACGCATTTGACTAGCAGGTCGAACAACTGATGTTCTTAAACCCTTCTGACTGCCATTGGCGATTGCCAAATAAACGGATCACAAGATGTATCAAAACAGATCTTATTATTAAATTGTTACCAAACAGAAAACAATGAACTTGCGGAAAAGATGGTATACCGCAAACATGAGGTGCAAAAATTTGTACACCATATCCGGATTTCGACAATTAATGTCTCTTCAGTGATGTTAGGAATCGAAACGGTATTTGGAAGGCCATATAATTTACCTCAATTTAGGATAGACTCTTGAATTTTGAAAGAGTCAAAATAGGATGAACGGATCATATAAACCCGAAGGCAAATATAATACAAGCCCAAACGAAAAAATATAAACAAGTCTAAATTGAAAACAACGTTCAAACCTATGATTGCGTTGGATAAAAACCGCAATTTTTATACGTGTGCATCCAAAACAAATTTCTTGGTAGAGGTGTCTAAATACAGCACAAACAACATTTTCCAAAATACCAAATGAGTGAAAAAGTATATTTTAACAAAACGCATTTGACTAGCAGGTCGAACAACTTATGTTCTTAAACCCTACTGACTGCCATTGGCGATTGCCAAATAAACGGATCACAAGATGTTACAAAACAGATCTTATCATTAAATTATTACCAAACAGAAAACAATAAACTTGCGGAAAAAATGGTATACCGCAAACATGAGATGCAAAAATTTGTACACCATATCCGGATTTCGACAATTAATGTCTCTTCAGTGATGTTAGGAATCGAAACGGTAAATGGAAGACCATATAATTTACCTCAATTTAGGATAGACTCTTGAATTTTGAAAGAGTCAAAATAGGATGAACGGATCATATAAACCCGAAGGCAAATATAATACAAGCCCTAACGAAAAAATATAAACAAGTCTAAATTGAAAACAACGTTCAAACCTATATATAAATGCGTTTTGTTAAAATATACTTTTTCACTCATTTGGTTTGTGCTGTATTTAGACCCCTCTACATAGAAATTTGTTTTGCATGCACACGTATAAAAATTGCGGTTTTTATCCAACGCAATCATAGGTTTGAACGTTGTTTTCAATTTAGACTTGTTTATATTTTTTCGTTTGGGCTTGTATTATATTTGCCTTCGGGTTTATATGATCCGTTCATCCTATTTTGACTCTTTCAAAATTTAAGAGTTTATCCTAAATTGAGGTAAATTATATGGCCTTCCAAATACTGTTTCGATTCCTAACATCACTGAAGAGACATTAATTGTCGAAATCCGGATATGGTGTACAAAAACCTTTGCACCTTTTGTTTGCGGTATACCATCTTTTCCGCAAGTTTATTGTTTTCTGTTTAGTATTAAATTTATAATTAAGATCCATTTATTATATCGGTGATCCGTTTATTTGGCAATCGCCAATGGCAGTCAGCAGGGTTTAAGAACATCAGTTGTTCGACCTGCTAGTCAAATGCGTTTTGTTAAAATATACTTTTTCACTCATTTGGTCTTTTGGAAAATGTTGTTTGTGCTGTATTTAGACCCCTCTACATAGAAATTTGTTTTGCATGCACACGTATAAAAATTGCGGTTTTTATCCAACGCAATCATAGGTTTGAACGTTGTTTTCAATTTAGACTTGTTTATATATTTTCGTTTGGGCTTGTATTATATTTGCCTTCGGTTTTATATGATCCGTTCATCCTATTTTGACTCTTTCAAAATTTAAGAGTTTATCCTAAATTGAGGTAAATTATATGGCCTTCCAAATACCGTTTCGATTCCTAACATCACTGAAGAGACATTAATTGTCGAAATCCGGATATGGTTTACAAAAAATTTTGCACCTTTTGTTTGCGGTATACCATCTTTTCCGCAAGTTTATTGTTTTCTGTTTAGTATTAAATTTATAATTAAGATCCATTTATTACATCGGTGATCCGTTTATTTGGCAATCGCCAATGGCAGTCAGCAGGGTTTAAGAACATCAGTTGTTCGACCTGCTAGTCAAATGCGTTTTGTTAAAATATACTTTTTCACTCATTTGGTCTTTTGGAAAATGTTGTTTGTGCTGTATTTAGACCCCTCTACATAGAAATTTGTTTTGCATGCACACGTATAAAAATTGCGGTTTTTATCCAACGCAATCATAGGTTTGAACGTTGTTTTCAATTTAGACTTGTTTATATATTTTCGTTTGGGCTTGTATTATATATGCCTTCGGGTTTATATGATCCGTTCATCCTATTTTGACTCTTTCAAAATTTAAGAGTTTATCCTAAATTGAGGTAAATTATATGGCCTTCCAAATACCGTTTCGATTCCTAACATCACTGAAGAGACATTAAGTGTCGAAATCCGGATATGGTGTACAAAAACCTTTGCACCTTTTGTTTGCGGTATACCATCTTTTCCGCAAGTTTATTGTTTTCTGTTTAGTATTAAATTTATAATTAAGATCCATTTATTACATCGGTGATCCGTTTATTTGGCAATCGCCAATGGCAGTCAGCAGGGTTTAAGAACATCAGTTGTTCGACCTGCTAGTCAAATGCGTTTTGTTAAAATATACTTTTTCACTCATTTGGTCTTTTGGAAAATGTTGTTTGTGCTGTATTTAGACCCCTATACATAGAAATTTGTTTTGCATGCACACGTATAAAAATTGCGGTTTTTATCCAACGCAATCATAGGTTTGAACGTTGTTTTCAATTTAGACTTGTTTATATTTTTTCGTTTGGGCTTGTATTATATTTGCCTTCGGGTTTATATGATCCGTTCATCCTATTTTGACTCTTTCAAAATTTAAGAGTTTATCCTAAATTGAGGTAAATTATATGGCCTTCCAAATACCGTTTCGATTCCTAACATCACTGAAGAGACATTAATTGTCGAAATCCGGATATGGTGTACAAAAACCTTTGCACCTTTTGTTTGCGGTATACCATCTTTTCCGCAAGTTTATTGTTTTCTGTTTAGTATTAAATTTATAATTAAGATCCATTTATTACATCGGTGATCCGTTTATTTGGCAATCGTCAATGGCAGTCAGCAGGGTTTAAGAACATCAGTTGTTCGACCTGCTAGTCAAATGCGTTTTGTTAAAATATACTTTTTCACTCATTTGGTCTTTTGGAAAATGTTGTTTGTGCTGTATCTAGACCCCTCTACATGGACATTTGTTTTGCATGCACACGTATAAAAATTGCAGTTTTTATCCAACGCAATCATAGGTTTGAACGTTGTTTTCAATTTAGACTTGTTTATATTTTTTCGTTTGGGCTTGTATTATATATGCCTTCGGGTTTATATGATCCGTTCATCCTATTTTGACTCTTTCAAAATTTAAGAGTTTATCCTAAATTGAGGTAAATTATATGGCCTTCCAAATACCGTTTCGATTCCTAACATCACTGAAGAGACATTAATTGTCGAAATCCGGATATGGTGTACAAAAACCTTTGCACCTTTTGTTTGCGGTATACCATCTTTTCCGCAAGTTTATTGTTTTCTGTTTAGTATTAAATTTATAATTAAGATCCATTTATTACATCGGTGATCCGTTTATTTGGCAATCGCCAATGGCAGTCAGCAGGGTTTAAGAACAACAGTTGTTCGACCTGCTAGTCAAATGCGTTTTGTTAAAATATACTTTTTCACTCATTTGGT